AAGTCCCACGTAGAAAAAGGAGCACACCAAGTGGTGTAGGGAATGCACGACCCACAGTGCCACCCAAGGCTTGTCAAGACTGAGTTCTGGACTTCGGAAGGGTAATACTTACCTAAACACCAAAAGTATGTAAAATAATAGCCCTAAGCCCATAATAATAGCCATAAGGGCGATTATTTTACATACGTTTGGGGTTCAGGTAGTAGCTAACGCATGAACTGGCCCAGGATTTGTCACCATAGGGATATCCTACAGCATCTAATACCAGCAGTCCTTCATCGGAATAAGAACTGCAGGTGGTGCCGGATCATTTCCGGCCTGCGCCTTCGCGTGTAGGTAGACTTTAGACCTAAACCCGGAACCCTAAACACTAAACTCAATGGTCCCAGTCGCACACGTGGCGAAGTGCCAGTCGTCACTCAGCGGATTACGGCGAGGGGCCTGAGTTAGAGGGTCCATGTTGTTGGTACATAGTATACACTTGGGCCCAAAGAAATGATATGGGAATCACTCTGGGACCCCAGTATTTCATAGACTGTGTACATACAGTGACCCCTTGGCAGTTGTACCCCAAAACTACGCCTGAGTTTTTCTGGGAGTTATGGTGGATGGAGAAAATCTTGCACCACTTCGGATCCCCAGAGTACACAGATGGGTGCGTTGGGGAGGCTCAGGGGGAGGGGGTTAACACGGTTGTTAGTGCTGTTGCTATAGAGGATGGTGCAAGATATTCTTCATCCACAGGAGGGTGCGTGGGGTTCCCAAATGCGTGACGTACTCCATTTTGGAGTCTTTCCATTTAGAGGCAATTTGCTTTTGCGTAGACATGGGCCTCATTTCTCAGAGTCTCCTAGATGAGACTGTGCTACCCTTGGTATCATACCAACCGCTTTTGTTGGTTCGTTTGGAAACTTATGTGGGCATTTCTCAAAAACTCCCAAAGAAATCCACTTGACCCCTAGGTCAGGCAATCCAGCTGGATTAACACAACAAATGACGCCATAGTGTCAGTGTATGGGGCTAATTACACCCTCAATCCTAAACCCTAACGCTTCACCCATTCAGCTTGCCCAGCACTACATGCCTCGAACTGATGCCCAGCGATATGACGCACAGCTAAAATTCAATCCCGTACAATCGTATATAATGCATGTTAATGAAATTTAATATGTTCTCTTAAACCGCACCTCAGTGTTGGGGGTATAAGGCGCCCAAAATCCTGCAAATCCGGCAGCCTTTGGCTGCCCCAAGTAGTATAGTTACCATTATAGGTGCAACATGGGCTGGTGCAAGATTTCCTTCATCCACAGTAGCCCGCCTAAAACCCCACCTCTCGCTTGCTTGATTCGCCTCTTTTGCTCAAGCTAGAGGGCCGACGAACGCCGGCCAACTCAGTAGACAAGAATGCATGGCTACATTGCAGAACGGTATAAACCCAAGGCTTCAATCAGTCAATATGCACGTATTGTCCAAAAAAGGGACCGTATTTTTTCAGCTAGTACACAATTATTTTGTACTTGGACTCTCACGGCAGGGTTGTGGGATCCTGGGCTTTTGGGTTCAGTCTGATTACAAGGATGGAGTGCAATGATGGTACCAAGGAAAGGCATACCCCAAGACTGAAACTAGGTTCAGGATTATGGTTTACGGTCTAGGGTTGGGCTTAGTAATCCCTACAGAATCCTTAAAACTTGACCCTCGTACTCTCCTTTTGGTCCTCTAACATGTTGTTCCCAGGGTACCTAGTAGTATGCTTGTTTTGTGCGGTCCCCATATTGCTAGCTTCTTGGGGCCCGGCAGCATCTCTAACTTGGTGGCCTGGAGAGTGCAACTTTGCGATGGCAGACGCGCCACTGGTTTGGTTTACATTAAAAGCAACCCTTGGAGTCCAAGTACCTAACCCAGAGGGTCCATGTACCCAATAATTAGGTACTTGGGTTTTGGCTAATACGAATTATAGTATAGGTTTTGGGTAAGTATATGATTATTAGGTACTTGGACCCTTAGGGTAACAGTCATATGGGGATTGTCCTAAATTACTGTCAATACGGGGTCCTATATTTAGGTTCCTATGATAATACGGGGCCCTATATACATTTCCCCCATTTTGGGAACAGTAATTTAGGGAAACTACCATATACCTACCCAAAACCTGTACTATAATTACTATTAGCTTAAACCATCTTAAACCCAAGTACCTAACTATTGGGTACTTGGACCCTCTGAATAAATGGAAGTGGCTTTGGTTTGAAGGGTCAAGCTTTAGGGCTCAGAGGTTGAGGTTTAGGTTTGTGTATGAGCTCAGGTTTAGGTGACAGGCTAGGGCCTTGAGCTTCGCATAGCATGCATACCTATATACGACCTATGCCTACACAGCCTCTGTTTTCAAGACGCACATGACAAGCTCTGTTGTGGGAGTACCACCCTAGTTCCGGAGGGTTGCGGCTTGCACGGCGCCTCGCAATTTAGCGCTCACTGAGGGTCCAGAAAGTCCAGGGCATGTTCATCTTCGTTTGCTGCAGGCACCATGTTGTTTTGAGTTTTTGGATTGGAGGTCACATGCTGTATTTTGGTGCTATCTGTTGTTTCCTGTTGTTGTTACATAGGCTTTAGGCGACGTTTAATGAAGCGGCCTGGGGCTGGCATTTGATCAGTTCTCATAAGCCTTCATTGGGTGAAGTAGTGTAATGATTGTTTCCACAACTTGCAGACACGAAAAGGGCTTCGGATTTGGGGCTTGTGGCCAAGCACCCTAGCCCGTAAGCTTTGAATAACCACGTGTACAATATTCGGACACCCTCTACAGACGGCGTAGACCCTCGAATTTGACCTTACAGTCCCTGCGTTCCTCGCATAAGATGTTGCCGAGTGATGGGAGCGGGCTTTCAATCTGGAGCCTACCCAAACCTTGACATTGGCATGGACGCAGGAAATCCTGCACCACTCTACATGGGTGTATGCATTTTTGAGGGGTCCACCATCTAAAAGGAAGAGGGATGTGGGGCACCCCCGAAGCAGACCCCGAAGCAGACCTCGAAGCAGACCCCGAAGCAGACCCTGAGACATACCCGAAGCATACCCTCAAAAAAGCTAGGCTTTTGGCATCAGCTTGCACCGGAAATCCTGCTCAGTGGACTGGT